ATGATATTGTATGTCCTGGAGATACACTAGTATTCACTTGTATTACTAGTGGAGGTGGTGTTGTATGGAGAATTAACAATGGTGACATTCGTATTATTTTTGCCAGTGATAAAAATAAAACTGATCAGATTGGCAGCTTCATGTTAGCCATTACTGATACTAATGCTAATAATACAATAACAAGTACTGCTACTAGTGAGTCTGCCTCATCACAACTTAATGGAACTGTTATTGACTGCTCTGTAGATGGAATTTACTTCAACACATTATCAGCACACATTGCAGGTAAGATACACCATGAACCATATGTATCATAATACTGTATCTATGTATAGGTGTACCAGTATCAGTTATTGATATAAAGATAATACCAATTAATAACAATACAGTATTGATGAACTGGTACTACGAAAAGAATGATGAAGTACACTGTATTCAATATTATAATATTACAATAATCAGTGATTATATAAAAGATAATAGAAATGCCAACAGATCAGTATATATGACTAGTGAATCATCAAAAACTATCAATACTTCTCTTATTATTGGTACTAGTTATTCATTTATTCTTACTCCTATTGATACTATTGGAAGAGAAGGACCTCCTTCATCAATAATACAGTATATATGGAATGGTAAGTACTATACACACACCTCATTGTATTTCTTATAGTGCCAGCTCAAGTTGTTAATATTAGTTGGGATCAGATATCAAATAACAGTATTGCAATATGGTGGAATATCAATGAAGTATGTTAAGAAGTTATTAACTATAAATCATTATTAGTATCATTAATAGGATGTTACATTACATTATCCTCCAGTACATTACATTGTTAGTGTACACAATATTACTATTAATACAACTGATACTAATGTAACTATTAATGGACTATATCCCAATAACGAATATACTGTATACATAAAACCAGTTAATGCTATTGGAGAGGGACCACTGATTAACATTACAAGTTTGTTTATTATAAACTAATGAGTATATTTAGTGTAGTGTGTTTTGTAATTCCATATAGTAAACGTAACTAAGCTTTGGTATATAAATGACAATACGAATGTGTGCATTTCGTCTACTCTAGCAACAACCAGTTTAGCTGTATATACTTCATTATCTGGTTAGTATAATAATTAAATAGCAGTGTACTTGAATGTCATAGTTGATCTATTTTCATTAATACATGCAGTTACTGAAAGATCAGATATCATAAGCATAACATCAAAGATTATTGGAAGCACATTTGTAGGAGCAAGTTCAAGTAGTATAATGCACTCAACAGTAACAAGTTATGGAACACAGTCAACAGTTACAAGTACTGTAATGCCACCAAGTAGTGGATCTATGAATTCAAGCTTATTGTTTTCAATTTTTGGTGCTATTGGTGCTATAGTAATTACATGTATCATAGCAGTCATTGTAATTCTGGCCTGCATTATGTATAGAAGGAAAAGTAACAGTAAGTATAAACACCATGTGCTGCCTTTGATTAATATACTGTAGGTGTAAAGAAGAAAGAAAGATGGTGAATTGAATAGTATCATTTACTTATTCATTATTAATTGTAATTGTAGGAATATTAATGACTACACAGAATTTGAGGTAAATTTAAATTTTCATTTTGCACATTAATACCTTATTTTAGTTGAGAAACACAAACAATCTACAACCAACTGGATTGGAATCATATGCAATATCAACTGCTGGAGGACCGTCTATTGAAAGTAAGAATGTATGCATATGTATTAGAGAAGATTGCATGGTAGAAGAGGAATGAGTTATTGACAGTTCATAAAAGTAGAACAATAACTTTCTCACAATATACAAAGTTATGGATAGTCTGGCATATATGAAAAATATCATTATGAAATAACATTATTAACATGCTACATGTATATTGTGTATATTGTACTTGAATATTGTTTGCAGGTCAGTACAGTGTCATTAGGAAAGGTGATATAATGGAATATGAAGAAGTACCTCCACCAATCCCTCCTCAATATAATTATAATGAAGTAATTATCATTATAATGTATACACATTAATAATAATAATAATAATGACAGATAAATGTTGAACAGAATGGACAAAGCCCCATCTACTCTATAGTCAATGCAAATCAAGTGAGTATATTTCTGCTTATATAAGTAAGCCTAGATCAATGGCATTAAGTGTAAAATACAATAATATACTGTATAGCTACTAGCTAGAAATTTCTGTGGCCCAAAATTTCTGCTAATTTTGTGGATTTGAAAAAATTACATAAATTTAATCCTCAAAATTTTGGTATGCAATTTTTTGACCTATTTAAATTAAAGGCATGGTGAATTCACAATAATAAATCTGCAAAAGCCAATTTGATGGCAATTCATTTGGGCCACAAAAATTTCTAGCTATACGGTATATATTAATTATAGGTTAATAATGATGGAAAAGGTCCTGTTTATTCCACAGTAAGTCCAGTACCAGTAAGAGAAAATATGTAATGCATGCATATATAAGAGTTTTGGGAAATCAAAACTGAGTTCATAGCTTAACTATAACCTATAGTGATAATAATATCAGAAGATTAATGTACTGTATGCTCTCGTATAACTTATTTTGGGAATCATTCCATTGTTTCCTCAAGAAAGCATTCAAAAGCATTGATGTACAAATAATGTGTAAATTGAGACTCACGATTGGAAAATAATGAAACTGTCATTATGAAAACATTATAATTACACAGTGTATATTGTTAGGTTGAATCAGCTAATAAGGTCCTGCTTTATGCTGATGTAATGATAATCCCTAAGGACAGTAGGCCACAGTGTCCACCCACTAGTGTCCAACCAGTAACATATGCAGTAATATAACAGTAAGTATACCATAATGTACATGTATGTAAATTAATAGTTTAATGTATGTCTCTTTCTTTTTATAGTTGAAATTTCTTGGTGGTTCCAGGTTACATTATTTGCTGTAACATAAATTTTTTGTAATAATGTATTTTTAATTATTTTAAACTTATTGTGTAGCATGTCTGAGTGTGCATTAACATCCATTAAACCATTAATTCTTTGATATATA